CTACTAGGATTGTGCCACACGAAACTTATAAAAGCTCACAAATATCACCTTGGAGGAGGTAACACACAACTTTGCTTTCTGAATTCACGGAGCTTTGTCTATTTGTCAAGTTTGCTGACTTAGGCATCGGAGAGGTTTCCGGCACACACCCGCTGGCTAACTCACGTTTGTGTTTTCAGGTGATAAGGCGACGTCGTACGGAGGAGCACAGACTTGGTCAACAGGATTATACGATGAAGTATATTTCTTTCCCGTACACCCAGCAACACCACAGAGAGAGAGATCAAACCAAAATCCAAAATCCAAAATCAAACCCAAATCCAGATGATCAATCCACTAATTTCAGACAATCACCCTCTTTTTTTCTTTTTTCTTTTTCTCTCTTTGAAGATGAACACAGAGAGGAGAAAGTCGAGACATCAACAACACATTTTTTTTTTGAATCTGAAAATAAAAAATTTCAACTACAACATCATACATTCATCAACAACAATCACAAAAAAAAAAAAAAATTTAAATTGTCGAATCCAGATTCGCAAATCTGTTCATCAACAAATCATCAATCCAAATCCACTAGAAAAGAAAGAAAGAAAAAAAAAAGTAGAGAGAATAGAGGCGAGAGACCCACCGTTTGCTGTGTGTGTATACACAGATCTGTGTATACACACACAGATCTTCCATGTCTTCCTCCTCCTCCCTCTTCTTTTCTTCATCAATCTCCTACACAGATCTCCTTCTCTCTCTTTTCTCTCTGTCTCTCTCTGCATTCGAATGCAAGAAAAAGAAGAAAAAAATAAATAAATAAATAAAATCCAAAACGACGTCGTTTTAGGTTTCGAATCAATTCGAGCTAATAGATTTTGGACCCTTAAACATTTATGATGACAAGAAAAAAAAAAAAAAAAAAAAGGAACAATGACAGTACAACTCCCTCACGTGATTTAGCTTTCGGAAGAGAGAATATGATGATATGATATGGCGCTCCTTATTGTCCCATCATCTCTTCTTCATTAAAAATTGAAACAGAATAAGGCATGGCAAACAAGTTCGCGTTGGAGGAATCAGCGGTGGTCACGACGGCGAGGGAAGCAACAGCGGTTGTCGCCGGGGAGGTAACCACCGAAGTAAGTTCCTAAACAGTAAATAGTATTTTTTTTCCTGGGATTTTGTTTGTTTAATTTTTTGAGAGTTGATTCCTTCACTCATCTCTCATTTTTTATTTGTGGGTTTTGTTTTATTTGTGAGATTTATTTATTTATTTTTAAATGAGGCACTGTACGTGTTTGTTGAAAGTCCAAAAAGAAGCAGAAAACCAAATGGTCTCTGATTCTGATTGTTAATTAAAGTATTGGGTACTTGGAAACCTACTTTTTTTCACATTTTGTTTGTGAATACTTGTTTCAATTTTTTCTCTTATCCGATAAGTTATTGGTTGGTTTTGAGTACTGTCCCGCTGGGTGGGATTTATGAATTTATAATTGAGTGATTCGGAATCTGTGAGACATGATGAATTATAATTAGTGAAGGAAATATCCATTTAATGATTTGGACCAATTAATAATTTTTTTAAAAGGTTAAAAATCTTAAAAAATTATCAAAGTTTATACTAAATGTCTTGTATGTGTGCGAGATCCGAGGACCCGAGTAATGCTACAGATACCAATTTTTTTACTAAATAAATTATTAAATATTTTACTTGGTGTGGGGTCCGTAATTTTGTGAACCCCACACTTATAGAAGACATTTAGTCATTTATTTGATAAAAAAAAATTGGGCTATAACATTTTTCGTGGAACCCACATTATGTGGGTTTCATATAAGTTCCGAAACATTTGATAAAAATTTTAATAAAACTTTTAAGATACCAACATTGTACATATTTTTTCCTCTTCTCCATAGTAGACCACGTGAGGGGAATATTTGCATATTTTGAGGAATACAGAAAAAAAAAAAAGGTTAATTTTTTTATCGACAATGCTACGTAGCTCAAATTTTGTGGCTCAAAAATGGCTCAAATGGCCAAAACGACGTCGTTTTGAGTACAGAACAACATAAAAATGGCCAAAACGACGTCGTTTTGACCATTTGAGCCACTTTTGAGCCACAAAATTTGAGCTACGTAGCATTGTCGATAAAAAAATTAACCTTTTTTTTTTTTCTGTATTCCTCAAAATATGCAAATATTCCCCTCACGTGGTCTACTATGGAGAAGAGGAAAAAATATGTACAATGTTGGTATCTTAAAAGTTTTATTAAAATTTTTATCAAATGTTTCGGAACTTATATGAAACCCACATAATGTGGGTTCCACGAAAAATGTTATAGCCCAATTTTTTTTTATCAAATAAATGACTAAATGTCTTCTATAAGTGTGGGGTTCACAAAATTACGGACCCCACACCAAGTAAAATATTTAATAATTTATTTAGTAAAAAAATTGGTATCTGTAGCATTACTCGGGTCCTCGGATCTCGCACACATACAAGACATTTAGTATAAACTTTGATAATTTTTTAAGATTTTTAACCTTTTAAAAAAATTATTAATTGGTCCAAATCATTAAATGGATATTTCCTTCACTAATTATAATTCATCATGTCTCACAGATTCCGAATCACTCAATTATAAATTCATAAATCCCACCCAGCGGGACAGTACTCAAAACCAACCAATAACTTATACGACAATGCTACGTAACTCAAATTTTGTGGCTCAAAAGTGGCTCAAATGGCCAAAACGACGTCGTTTTGGCCATTTTTATGTTGTTCTGTACTCAAAACGACGTCGTTTTGGCCATTTGAGCCACTTTTGAGCCACAAAATTTGAGTTACGTAGCATTGTCGTAAAGTTTAAGTGTTCTGGCCAAACCAAGTATTGCGGGTGTCTGCTGTAACAGGACTCATTATTCGGATTATGTTTTAATAATTCGTATAGTTCATAATATAGGATTTGTTAATTATATAATTTATATAAAAAATAAATTTTATCGGATAAAATATAATTTTATGATCAAGCCGAATAATAAGTTAAAAAAATTATTAAAATTATATTAATCGTTTATTTTTTCCTAAACATAAATGTGATCTTATTGTAAATTACAGATATCTAATTAATTTAATTTTTTTTATAAATGATTTACTTAACAAACTGATTTAAATTATTAAAATAAATGAGGCACACCTTCAAAGACTCACAATAGTGTGTTGTGCCTTTAAAGAATGAATAATGCTATTTACACCAATTAATTTACTAACTAGTGTACCAATTGATGATGTAACATAATTTAAGAGATTTTTAGTATTTGTAATGTGATTAATGAGTGGGGTCAATAATAATGATGGTGCTATATATACCAATTAGTGTACTAACTAGTGTACCAACACTAGTTATTATGATGTTATTATTGACTTCACTCATTAATCATATTACAAATATCAAAAGAATAATACTATATGCTGTACACACTAGTATACTAACAAATGATGTGGCATAATTTTAGAGGTTTTGAATATTTATAATTTGTATAATATATGAGGTTTTGGATATTTATAATTTGTATAATAAATAGAGTCATTAATAATATCACTAATTGATGCATATAACACCACCGATACCAAAACCTCTTAAATTATATCACATCATCAATTAATACACTATTTAATATACTAATAATTATATATAACATCTTTTTAATAATAATATCATAACTAATATTGATATATTAATTAATACATGGAATCATAACGATAAAGAATAGCACCAATCCCAAGTTCCCAAGGAAAGTGACTAGCCCCATGGTTGATTATATCAATATTCGTTGACCAAATTCAGTAAACATATATTCTTTCTTTCTTCCTCTTCAAATTCAGTAAACATATATTCTTTCTTTCTTCCTCTTCTTCTTCTTTCTTTTTCTTCTTCTTTTTTTTTTTTTTTTTTTTTTTTTTTTAATATTCAAAATATATATTATTTCCACGAATGTTTGTATAAAATATCATTAAAAGTGAGATCTAATAAGTTAATTGCATGATTGGGCATGCTATGCTTGGCTTTCTTTGCACGTTGGCCTAAACAGCTATACGAAGCAGAAAAAATATTAGAGATTCCAAAAGTTTTGTTAAATGGGTCTGGCTTTGGTCCAGTTTGTCATCGGATTAAATTATGTTGTTAGGCTCGTAGGGGCTTATCATGGGTTCCGTTTTGAAAATTTGAATCGTTCAATGTGTAGAACTCGTCGAGTACTATACATTTAAGAAAAATCACGTTGATCGGATATCAATAGTTATGCCATCAAATCAGTTTTGCATAAAAAAAAATAGACGGTGAATAAATTAACGGTTGATAAAAAAACTGTTTTGATCACATAACTATCGATATCCGATCAACGTGATTTTTCATAAGTATAGAGTACTCGACGAGTTCTACACATTGAACGGTTCAAATTTTTAAAACGGGACCAATGGTGGGTCCCCATGAGCCCAACAGCACGGTCCAGTCCGATGGTGGACTAGACCAAAGCCAAACCCTTGTTAAATTTTCTATTAAATATCTCATATAGGTATGGAATTCATATGGGTCCCATATAGTGTGGACCCCATACCCATGACACATTTAGTAGAAAATTTAGTCATGTGGATCCCACACTTATATAAAATATTTGATAAAAAAAAATTAAGGGTATGTTTGGTTTGAGTTTTAGAGATGAGTTTTAGAAAAAAAATTTAAAAAAATTGTTTGGTTTGAGATTTTTCTCAAAAAATTTTCAAAATCACTTTCTCTCTCTTACACATCAATCAATCACTTTTTCTCTCTTACACATCAATCAATCACTTTTTCTCTCTCATCTCTCCTTCTCAATCACTTTTTCTCTCACACACATCTACTAAATTACAATAAAATATCAAATCATCCCAAACTCCAAAACTACTCCAAAATATACAACTAAACAAACCAAAAAAATTTCTAAACTCTCTCTCCAAAATTTTTTTCAAAAACAAACCAAACAAAATTTTTAGCATCTCTGACATTACAAATTACTCATGAAACGGTGGCATCAAAGTAAAGAGACTGCAACAGAAAAGAATGTTTGTCTACCCTTTTAAGGAACCTCATAGTTATTATGCACACACCAAAATGGCTTTCAAGCTTCTTCCCAATCCTTCTCCATTCTTTTTCTTTCTCTTTTTTGCTTTTTTTTGGCTGTGCCAATCCTTGCCCATTCAAACTGCAAAAGAGGTAAGGGTGGAGATGATGATTCTGTGAAATTTTCATTTTTCATATTCAATTCTAGGCAATAATATATATATATATATATATATTTGACATCACATCTCTAGTTAATTCATTTCATGGTTTCTTCAAAATCTCTTGCAGGAGATAGCTAGGCCATCAAATCTGTCTGCTACCCCGGTGCACCTGAATATTCAAGATGATCACGTAAATCTTTTTTTGAATCATTGGGTTATTTTACCTCTTGTATTATATATATATATATATATATTATGGTCTTCAATAGATTCATAAGAATCAAATCATATATCTAAAAATTTTACGCGTCTCCTTGTCTCAATGCACTCTCAATAGAACAATTGTGCCTCCAAATGCTACATATAATATGTAGATATCATGGTCTTCAATGATTCATAAGGATACAAACTGAATCACGTGTCTTGGATTTTTCTTCTCTTTTTGTTTCAATGCATTTGCAACAGTAAAATCAGGTCTCCAGATTATCATGTTTTGAGTTTCTCATATGAGATTTCGGAAGAGGGGATGTTTGGCTCAGAAGAGTCCTACTTGGGATTGTTCATTACTATGTTATCATCATCATGTATAGAATGAAGCATCTTTTTCGGTGCAGGTGGTGATAGACAATGGCATACTCCAACTCACACTGTCAAATCCCGGAGGAACTGTCACCGGAATAACATATGGTGGAATTGAAAACTTGATCGAACTGCATAATCAGGAATTGAATGGAGGGTACGTACATCGATGGTTATATATCTATCTTTGTTCTTTCAATTCTTCTTTGTTGTGATTGAATTCTGTGCATTTAGAAAATTTCTAGTTCTTTTTCAATACCTTTCAGATGATGAAGCACAATCTTGGAAGGAACCCAGAAAACAATTAGGACTAGTCAGAAAAGCAGCTAGAATTTTTTCGGTTCTTTTATAGTACTTTTCAGATGATGAAGCATAATGTTGGAAGGAACCTAGAAAACAATTTTACAAAAGAAAAGTAAAAAAGACTCTTTGGACAGAGCAAGGATCCTCTAGAGTGATTTTTTCCTAAAGTTTTTTAAATAATGTGACTTGTCTTTGGCCAAAACTAAAAAACTAGCTTAATTTTTGTCTTTTGTGTACTTCTTTCAACTTGGAGTTGAATTTTTTTACCTTTTAGGTTTGTGTCGACTAAATGATTAGGCCTCGTTTGGCAATAGGCTAGTTTAGCCAAAAAGTCAAAAAGTTACTAAAAAAATTAAAAAACCAACAACCTATAACAAAAAATCAAAGATTCTCTTTTCTTTCTATTTTTTGTACATCTTTTCGTAAAAAGTCATCCCAAACATACTAGTTTTTTTTAGTTCATATTTTAGCCAAATAGCCAAAAAGTTACTAAATTAACCTGTTCCCAAACGAGGCCTAAATATGAAAATAAGTTAAGTTTTATATGGAGAAAAAAATTGGCTTATTTTGTTTTTTGTTTTGTTTTTTGGATTTTTCTGAATTTTTTTAAGTTTTAGAATCGTCTAGTAGAGACAAATCTAAAGACCAAATAAATCAAACTAAAATAACCAACTCCCAAAAGAAAATGTGTGAAAACTATTTTAGAAAACGTAATCATTTTTCATTTGCAGAAATTCATACACAGGTTTGAATAATCAGCTGTTAAATTGATGCAACTGGTAGTTAAAAGAGAAGGTAAGTTTATGTTCCGGTGGACTGTGCAGGTTCTGGGATCTTAATTGGAGCGAAGCAGGAAGTCCAGGAACAAGGGGAAAGTTCGATACGTATGCAACCCCCCCTCAACCCGAATAATTTTTTTTTATCTAGCTAATAAATTCTTTTTCCTGTTATCAAATTACCGTTAGTCATGAATATATTATTTTCAAACCAATGCATTTATATGATCATGTCTTAAATTTTGGTATTTTAAAATTTCTGTCAACAGCGTGTTATTAGAAGTGCATTAGTGACCTTGAGACAAATTTTAGGAAGATCCCTGCCAATGATAGACTGAGTATGATTGTGTACCAATTATGTAAGATGCATTTAAAATGTGGATAGCTCATTTTATCATGCACTCATTCCTGCATCAATGGAAAAATACCGATAAAGATACGTGCATAGAATTGGTGTATAGAAAATTATCCAAAAATTATTGTATGATCCAAATTTAACTTATGCATTGCGGATCCACATGTAAAATGAATCTGCGCAATAATTTTTTTTGAGATATTTATGCTGTGTTTGGTTGAGGGATTTGGGGAGTGATTTGAAAAGGGAAAGGGAAAAGGTGTGTGAAACTATGTGAAATATAGGTATGATTTATTCACATTTCACCTACCTTTTCTATTTTTCTTTTCAAATTCCTTCCTAAATCTCCCAACCAAACACAGTATTAATGAGTTTGGCATGATGAACTATATAAATCATAGATGTGAATTTGGGATAGGACGTACCTAAGAAGACAGCACAGCCTACAGCAGAGACCCATGTGGTTGGTACATGAATATAATAACATAAACATTAAGGTTGTTTGGTTTGTATCTCAAGATATGATTTTTGAGAAATTTTTTTAAAATTTTGTTTGGTTTAAATTTTTTGAATTTTTTTTTTTAAAATTATTTTTTTTCTCATATACATCAATCGATCGCTTTTTCTCTCTCCTCTTTCTTTCTCAATTATTTTTTCTCTTACACACATCTACTCAACTATAACAAAATATCAAATTATTCCAAATTTTCAAATTTCAAAATTATTTTCAAAATATGCAACCAAATAAATCACAAAAAATATATTTTAAACTCTCTTCCCCAAAAAAATTTTAAAAATTTATTTCAAAACACAAACCGAACACACCTTAAAAATCATATATATATATATAGGCACTGTTTGGCCCAAGTAATTTTCAAACCCTCACCATGATTACCGTGATTATGTTGGTTGGTAGCTTCAGAGTGAAGCTAGTTTCATAAACTGAGAATTGACAATTGCAGGATTGAAGGAACGAGTCTTAGAGTCATAGTGGAAAATGAGGAACAGGTGGAGCTTTCATTCCTAAGAATGTGGGACCCCTCAGTGCAGGACAACAAGCATTCCCCCTTAATAATAGACAAAAGGTTTTTTTTTTGCTTAAATCATATTTATTCATGAGAAAAAATCAATAAATTAATTGTAATCAGTGGGTGCAAGTAAGTGGAAAGTGAAAACTGTCTCCTGAGGCTGAGGGTATATTTTTTACTTCTACTAGCCCACATCTTATTTGCACTCAATTGATTTGTAATTTGTTTCTCTATTACTCATTTGTCTATTTTTAAATAATAAAAAAAAATTATTTATGCATATTTAATTCAATAAAGTTTTTGATTGACAATAACGATGATGTTGATTTTGACTTTTATATAGGTTTATAGTGCTTTGTGGTAGCTCGGGATTTTACTCCTATGCAATTTTTGAACACTTAGAAGACATGCCTGCTTTCAACCTTAACACTGCCAGGATTGCATTCATGCTCAACAAAGACAAGTACATGAATTTCCTTTCCGATTTACTAATCAAATTAATTGTATTGTCCACATTGCGCAATAAAACTTTAGAAATAAATTTTTCAATAAATAAAGAAATAATTAAAAATAATCAATGTTAGTGTGTTTTGAGTTGTTAGGTTTCACTACATGGCCATAGCAGATAACAGGCAAAGATGGATGCCTCATCCAGATGACCGGTTACCAGGAAGAGGCCAACAACTGGCCTACCCAGAAGCAGTCCTACTTGTCAACCCTTTGGAGTCTGAATTTAAAGGAGAAGTACTTCCTTCCTTTCACACTATACATTCCTATATTTCATCATTTTATTTCACCTCTTACGCGTGTTATTATAATATGTGTATAATAAATATCATATTTACATATGTAATTCATCATATTTAAAAATAATAGGAGCCACAATAGCACATGAAAGCAACATATATAGGTTTTAAATATAGTAGTCCTAAATGGTAGTATTAAATTATTTCTCACTATTCCATGCCATTTCTTCCATAACAAATTCTCAGGTAGTGTTTGGTTCGTTTGGATGAGTGATAGATCATTCCATTAAGAGACCAAGGAATGAACATCCCGTTACATTCTACTTTCATTCCAATAAAGCAAACATAGCATTAATTCTCCCAAATATATCGTTTTATCTTTTCATTTACTAGGTATGTAGTGTTTAGTTCACTAGAACGAAATAGAATGGAATGAAATGTTCATCCTCCCTTACCCTTCTTACAAAATGACTATTTCTTTACAATTTGTGAACGATGATTATGGTGGTGCTTCTAACTCACACGAGATCTTCTGTTTCTATTTTTTTGTCAAACCTAATTTCTTTGATTCTAATCATGTGGTAGAGATGAAGTTTGGAATAGAGAACTGGGAGATGAGCATAATGGATCTTGTCTCCATGTGACATTAATTGCAATGCTACATCTATTGTTTTAGGTGTTGATTCATTCCTGATGTGCAGGTGGATGACAAGTACCAATACTCAACTGAGGACAAAGATAATCGGGTTCACGGGTGGATATGCTTTGACCCCCCTGTGGGGTTCTGGCAAATCACACCCAGCAATGAGTTCCGAACCGGTGGACCCTTCAAACAAGACCTAACCTCCCATGTCAACCCAACAACCCTTGCTGTAAGTGACAACCCATACCCATTTTTACTTACAAATAATTACATGATCCATGTTGATTTCACTAATTTGTATTAATGCTTTTGGTGATTATCACCAATTGATACATAATCTTGATCAAAATTGCATGTGTATCAGATATTTGTCACTTCTCATTATGCCGGACCAGATCTTATAGTAAAATTTGAACCTGGTGAGATATGGAAAAAGGTTTTCGGTCCGGTTTTTATCTATCTCAATTCTGTGCCGGATGAAAATAATGCGCTTTCACTTTGGGACGATGCAAAAGAACAGGTTTGACATAATAATTATACTGACACAAAAAAAATTCTAAGAAAGTGCACATAATGTGTAAGTGGTAGCACTGCACTCTTGTATGGGGCCATGTTCCACCTAGATGAATGCATTGCTGCTAACACTACATTTCATGCACTTTTCCATGAGAAGTTTCTGTGCTTACAGCATTTTTATTGATATAAATAACATAAATATAGGGAGTTTTTTTTTTAAGGTGAATAAGAAATTTCTGCAATTTTTTCTTCAGATGAATATTGAGGTCCAGAGCTGGCCCTACAATTTCCCGGCTTCTGAAGATTTTCCACCATCTGATCAGAGGGGCCAAGTTAGTGGTAGATTACTAGTCCAAGACAGGTACTGTTGCTTTCTTTGTAACATAGTTCATTCCTCTTTGGTTTGGGCTTCCTCTAGTGTGATGCTTTATGGATGTCAATCAAAAGCATTTTTTAACATAATTAAGGGCTTGCAATTGTGACCTGAAGCACCGAGATAATTATTATTATTTTTTTTTGGGGGGGTTACAATTCCAATATTCTATTACTCTGTTTAGTGTAGCTTATTGAGATTGTTTATGACTTTTTTATTTTAGAATTTGTGGTTTAATGTTTGGTACAAATTCTGAAACAAAAATAGTTTAAATAATCCGGGGGAAAAAAAAATGGTTATCACGAAACTGTATGAGAAATGTTTTTAATTTCTATTTCTTGATTATCAACTTTTTAGCTTATAAAACATTACACCAGATATGAATTATAAACTGCAGTCTCACTTCTAGTACACATGATCATTGGATTAAAAAATATTGGAAATACTGCATGGATGTGAGTCCCACGGTTCGGTAATCTATGTCCACAGGGAGCATGGTTGCATCATATTTATCTGATTGAACTTTAATTAGCTAGGTATATTAGCAAGGACTATATACTACCAAAGGGTGCTCATGTGGGGTTGGCTCCACTAGGAGATGTTGGATCTTGGCAAAGAGAATGCAAGGTAATTTTTTTCATCAACATTCTCAATACTATCATGCTATGGATAACCAACAATGTCACTGTTTATTCCTTGGGCAAACGAACTAAGGCCTCATTTCTGTGTTCTATCTCTGTAATCTCTTGCTAGGGCTACCAATTCTGGACCACAACAGACGAAGAAGGCTATTTTACAATTAAGAATATACGTGAAGGCAACTATAATCTTTTTGCATCGGTCCCCAGTTTTATTGGAGATTATCGATACGACGTTGCTGTTAATGTAACTGCAGGTCTTAAGTTTGTCACCTTCCCAAGAAAATTTCAAATTGAACTGTGAAATCTGTAAATTTTTAGGGGGGTCTTAATAATCTGTATTTGGCAGGCTCTGCAGTTGATACGGGTGATCTTGTGTATGAACCTCCAAGAGATGGTTCCACATTGTGGGAAATCGGCATTGCGGATCGTTCGGCTGCTGAATTTTATGTTCCTGATCCTAATCCAATGTACATAAACAAACTTTATGTAAATCATCCTGACAGGTTAGCTCTCCTTTTTGACAATTTTTATTGCACGACCTAAAAAACTTACTGAAAGTATTGTACTGACCACTCACAGGTTGGCAGGCCCACACAATGTGGGTTTTGCTGGCCCCAAATGACCTGTAAATGGTCGATACACTTTCAGTATGATTTTTTTGGGTGTCCACAAACTTTTCCATTTTTGTGGAGTGAATAATGTGAAATTTCTCAGTTGAGTATTCCAAAAACTAATCCATTTCATGGTAATCTTTGTTTTAAGAGCAGGTTTAGGCAATATGGGTTGTGGGAGAGATATACAGATTTATATCCTGATGAAGATTTAGTGTACACCATTGGTGTTAGTGACTACAAAAAAGATTGGTTCTTTGCTCAAGTAACCAGGTACACTTCTTCCATATATATGATGTCTATTTCTTTTCAGTCATTACACTCCTTCCCAAAAGGTTGAAAATTAATACATTCTTTAGACAATCTATGAGAATGTGTTTTGTTTGATACAATTTGCTTCACTGCTATATATATATTGATTCACGTATCACATGAAATGGTAAACTGTGTCCTGTTGCTAATGCTTCCTTTCTTTGCCTAGTACTTACATTACATGGGTTAAAGGTGGTTATAGTAATTAGGGATGGCAAAAATCGATCTGGTTAACCGCCCGACCCTTCTCAACCCTAATGAGACGGGTTTGGAGTTTTTTAGTATGATGAGGTGGGTTTTGGGTGGAATAAAGAATCAAATCGTGTTTGGTGCGGGTTTTGGGTGAGGAAGGATAACCCAATCTTCTTTTTTCTTTTCTTTTTTTTCGGGTCACTTGTTACAACCAACACTAGTCTAATCTAAGAGGAAGGGGAAAGGGGATCAACCCCACTGCCCCACATGGGGCTTGAACCCACAGCTTCCACCATGGAGATTGGAAAGCGTATCACTGGGGCACAAGGTCTTGTAACCCAATCTGATTATATGTACTTTTACAGTATTCTATTTTTCTTTTTTTAATTAATGCATTATCATATAAAATGATCTTTAAATTTTCTTCACTTGTATTCACTGCATTATATATCAATATTGATCAACGATTTATAAAATCACATTATTGGATTTGTTAATGTTTAAGAGGGTATTAATCATTCGGACTTGATGTTCTTACTACCACAGAATAGCTAGTTGTAGTTACATGTCCAATTACCAGTTCAATTGAATTGCAGGAAAATAGGTGATAACACATACAAAGGAACTACGTGGCAGATCAAATTCACACTTGAGAATGTAGATCAAAGTGAAACTATTGGTACCTACAAATTAAGACTCGCACTCGCATCTGTACATAACTCTGAATTGCAGGTACTATTTGCTCTAGCTAGTCTATCTATGTTTGAACTAAACAATATATGGTTTAGACTGGCTTCTTTGTTTTGGTGAAAAAACGTTTTTTGGAAAATGTTTCTCATTTTTTGGTGTTTGGTATGCCGAAAACGAAAGCTAATAGAAACTATTTTCTGTGATCAATGGAAAACAAGATTATTTGGGGAGAAGATATCTTTTATTTTTGAAATATTTTTACTTCTGAAATATGAAAAACGTTTTTCAAATTAAAGTCTCAAGAATACCACTATGCTATTGCCACCACCATCACTTCCACCACCCTATCACCCCAACCATCACCACCACCACTACTTCTAATACAACTAGTGGCACATTAGTTTCAAAATCGCAACCAAACATATGAAAAAATTTTTTTGCAGAAAATATATATATTTTTTAAAATGAAATATTTTGCTGAATTGACCGAAAATTTATCCAAAAAACAATGTTTAGTTTAGATTCAACTCTTGTTTAAAATGAATCCGGGTCATACATTGATTTTTCCGGACTACAATGCCAAGTATGTAGCATTGCTCAATAAAATATACGGTGAAATCAACACGTAAACATAAATCTAAACCACACACTAATTTTTCTAAATATATATTTGGGCACAAGTTCTAAGTATGTAGCATTTCTCTATAATATGTCCTGAGGCTTGGTTGGTTTTTTTTTTTTTTTAAGGTTAGGGTTAATGATGAAGAAGCAAATCCTCCTTTATTTACAAGTGGAGTAATTGGGGGAGACAATGCAATTGCAAGGCATGGAATTCATGGAATATATTGGGTTTTCAATGTGGATATACCAAGCAGTCAGCTCATGCAAGGAGGGGATATTAATTCCATTTATCTAACCCAAACAAGGAATAACAGCCCTTTTCAAGGGATCATGTATGATTATATTCGTTTGGAAGGCTCTCCTGATTCTACTTCCTAGCTTTTTTTATAAAAAAATCTCATTTTACTTGGTCATTCAAGATTAGAAAATTAACCCTTTATATTTCAGACTACCTCAGTTTTGGTCCCAATTAATTAGTGATGGGAAATTAGGCCATAAATCCCTCCTAGCTTCTTTTTCTGGTTAAAAGGACAAAAATAAATAAATTAGTACTTTCAAAAGCCCCCTTCATATTATAAAGTCTTGTATGAAGGACAAAATTTATTATTTGAATATTTTATTTGACTATTATACCCTCTCTTTCTTCTTTTTCTTTTACAACACACTCCTTTTACAATACTCTCTTTCTCTCTCTTCACCAACTCAATGTTGTTCATCGTTTCCATCATTTTAATTGTCTATCGGCGTCGCTTATGCTCACCGTTGGCCGGCAACCACCATTTTTACTGTCAAATCACCACCATCTCAGATTTGATACCTGCGAACTCATATTAGAAATCAATAACTTCAGATCTGAGATAAAATAAAAAATAAAAAAATAAAATAAAAACTTGGATATGACAGAAAAATGAGAAATCAAGATATTACAATGAAAAATCAAGAGTTTTTTATTTGTTTGTTCATAGATCTAAAAGTAAAATTTGACTAGTTTGTTCATTTAGTATGTGCTCTATTTTCATAGCAATAAAATTTTGCTCTGGTTAATAACATGCTAATCTGCTTAACCAAACCAAGCCTTAAGTCTCATCAAATGGGGTCGGTTACGTTAATCATTCTTCTCCACGCTGATATGCTTAATGACAGTAAAATTTTATTTTGAATCATTTACTCTGAATCAGAGTAAAGTTTATTATGATTCAAAGTAAAATTTTACTCTAAAACAAGCTCTGAGGATGGCTTTATAGGAGAGTGTTGTGTCATGAACCAGAGTAAAATTTTACTGTTGGAAGAATAGAGCATCATGAGAAGAAGAAATAGAGATAGAGAGATAGAGTGTGAAAATAGATGATTAAGAAAAGAAGAAGAAGAAGGAGAGAGAGAGAGAGAGAGCATAAGTAGTGAGTGACACACATACACACAGAGAGAAAGAGAGCATAAACCATCAGAACCAAAGAAAGGGAGAGAGAGAGAGAGTAAAGGATCTCATATTTGAGGTTTGCAAACCATCGCAAATCGTCATTTTTCGATGACGATGACTATGAATGATCTCAGATCTGAAGTTGTGGATGCAACAAGTGATGGTGGCAATGAAGACGGTAGAGAAAGAGTTCCATGGTGAACGGCGGTGGTGCCCGGTGGAGAGTGTCGATGGCGCCGATGAAGAACAACAGTGATAAGAACGACAGAGAAAAGAGAGATTGAGAGTTATTGCAATTTGATATGAACACACACACATATATAAGGGTATTATAGTAAAAGAAATAAGTGTTAAAATACTAAGGAGTTTTGAAAGGATAATTTGATCTATATAATTCTCATTCTTTTGAAGGACAAGTTAAACATTGAGGGGTCTATCACCAAATCCTCCATTAATAATAGTTTAAATTAAAAAGAGTGATAAAGTTCGAGATTTTACATTTCAAAAATAAAAAGATGCGATTTCAGCTTCTTTTTTTTGTTGGTTTGGCCTACGAGTTGTCGGGACCAAAACTGATATGTTGTTCCTAGATCCCTAATAAAATATCTTGTTACATCATTTTTTTTTTTTTTTTATTTTTTTTTGTTTTTTGGTCTTTTAAGTTTTTGGTTTTTAGTTTATGTTTTGTACTCATCAGCCATTTCTTACCCCTTAAGTCAAAGGCCTCTCTAGTGTTAGGATTAAGGCACACTCAGAAATCAATCACACACAATAACACAAGAGATTTACATGGTTCGGCAGTAGCCTACGTCCACGAGAGAGATATTCACTATCGAATTATTCTGGAGAAAGTTTACTGCACTCACACTTCACTTTCTCTCTATAGCTCTCTCATTCACAAATACATACACTCTGTGTTTTTCTTGTAATCAGCCCCTCCTCCTCACCTTAATTTATACACAAAAATGGAAAAACATAGTCAAGCAAAAAGTTATTAGGCTGCCAACTGCTATCTTCTTTCCTACTTCTTGGCTAGGAGCCAACTCTTATTAATTTCTCTATGTGGGCTGGAGCCAACATTTGGGCACCTTTTGTTTTGTACTCGACAACCATTTTTTGTCATGAAGGGAAACTTTTGGTTTCATTTAGAGGTGTGTAGTTTTGTTGGAAATTAGAAGTTGTAAATTTAAAAGTAGAAGTTAAAAATATTCCTCACTTATTAATTTTTAGAAATCAATTTTTTTTTTTTTTTATCTTATTAAGTTATTTTTGCTTAATAAGTTATAAGTATATCAAATTCTATAATGAAAAAATGTTATAAACAGTTAGGAATCACGCCATACTAATCATCAATTAACTCCCTTGTCTATTAGGCAAAATAATCAATACAAAATATCTCTCACAATTATCAAATCAACTAAAAAAAAAAAAAACTATCACCAAAAAAAAAAAAAAGCTAACTAACTTTTCAAACAAACTATTTTAATCAGACTAAAATAACCAAAAAAAACCTAACTAACTTTTCAAACAAACTATTTTCATCTAATCAACTATCACCAAAAAGAAAAAAAGACTAACCAACTTTTCAAACAAACTATTTTAATCAGACAAAAAAAGTCAAAAAAAAAAAAAAAACCAAATAATCAACTTCCCAAACAGGTCGAATTTCAACCCACAAGAGTTTTAAATTTGAGAGCAGCAGCATGGTAGCGTGTGGGTCTGCATGCAACGTGCCAAAGACTTTTGTTTTTTTTTTTGGTGCAAGCCGAAGACTCATTCTTTGGGACTTCATCTACTTGCGCTTCTTAAATAAGTAGGAATAAAAAAAAAATAATAATGAAATTAATATTATAATGTGTACTTAACTTAAGTGGTATAAGTCATTGTATTTAAACCCATGGTCATGGGTTCAAGCCTTGTCCATCTCTTTGTTTAACTTTTTTTTAAAAAATAAAAAATACTGCCACATGGCATGAGGAGAGTAAAGCTTCAGGACACCATAAGAGGTGTTCACTTTATAATAGTATAGATAGATAGATAGATAGACTAGTGGGTGGCACACACGATGTGTGTGCAATTTAAATAAGTAAGAATAGAAAAAAATAATAATGAAATTAATATTATAATGTGTACTTAGCTTAAGTGGTATGAGTCCCTATTTTTAAACCCATGGTCTTGGGTTCAAGCCTTGCCCATCTCTTTGTTTAACTTTTTTATTGAACCCATCTCTTTGTTTAACTTTTTTTTTAAAAATAAAAAATACTGCCACATGGCATGAGAAGAGTAAAGCTTCAGGACACCATAAGAGGTGTTCACTTTATAATAGTATAGATAGATAGATAGATAGATAGATAGATAGATAAATTACAAATAGGTCATAATTTTAGGATTTATTACCCATTAAGTTCTATTAATAAATTTATTAATAATAAATTTATCAGCGTCTCTTATTTTTATGAATAAATTTGTAATGATAAATTTATCAGTTAAGACTTGTAAGTAAATAAGTTTAATTAATAGGACTGATTGGTAAGTGCGCCTAAACAAATTTCAAAAAAATTATTTAGAATTTAAAATTAATGGTTAACATTTACTTAAGATTTGACGTCACAATATAAAATTTAAACACACACCATTAATCAAAAGGAATTTGTTTCTCTCTAATCCAAAATTTAGACGAGAGGGTGTTGTCAACTCTGTAGAGACTATTATGGGTCTCATTTCAACAATAAAATGAAGAGTTTACGATTATCAGATCGATCTATTTTATTTTTTTTAAAATACTCTACAAAATAAATAGTTTGGATTATTAAAACGAAACATGTAGTGAACTATACAGGTTTAGATAGTACCCTCCACTCTAACTATTGAACAGTGGTTGGGGGGTGTGCTCTTCGTACAATTGCTCAGGATTCGATTTTTGAGATCAGGCTGCGAGAAAGTAATTTCTTTTAAATTTTCTAATCATGGCGTGAATGGTCTGCATTTGACCGGATCGAAAAAGGGACTAGTCAAGATTACACATAAACTGGTCCAGACACTCTGACCACTAAACCAAAAAATAATAATGATAGACAAATAAATAAATGAAATCCTTAACACTGTGTTCTGTTTGAAGATTTGAGAAGTGATTTGGAAAAGAAAAGAGAAAAGATGTGTAAAAGTAAGTGAAATGTAAGTATATTTTATTCACATTTTACTAATATTTTTTTTTCTTTTTAATTTTTTTTTAAAATTCTTTAATCAAACACAACATACAGATAGAATTACGGTTCTTCTGCAAAGAACTCATCTCCCATTTCATGGCTTGTATCCAACAGTCTTTCTCCGTATGACTCTTTGCTTTCGAAAAACTCTCTGGCTTCCCCTCATCAATAATCAAAATATAGTGAGAAGCGAGATATTTGGTTGATGGCATTGCAGCTCTTCTAGATCTTCGCAACTGAGGCCCAGTTGCCTCTAGTTGAAGGGGTTGCTCCCCTTGCTCAACACCCTCTTCATCCGGGTCTTCATCGTTTTCCTTCTCATCCTCAATTTCTGGCATAGGATCTTACAACTCTGGCACTTCTTGTTGCACATCATCACATTTAGCATTTTGCGATGGCTCGAGAAATGGTAACAAGTCTAGAGTGATGACATCTCCAGACTTTGCAGAATTTTCAAAATCTGCTACTATCTGGTCTTCCACGAACACATCTCTGCTCCTGATCATCTTCTTGTTCACTAGGTCCCACAACTTGTACCCAAATATTGCATCTGAATAACCCAGAAATATGTATGGAGTAGACTTGTCATCAAGCTTCTGTCTATTTTCCTTAGAGATGTGTGCGAACGCCTTACACCCGAAGACTCTCAAGTGAGAATATGATACCTTTCTTCTGGACCAAACTTCCTTAGGTATCGCAAAATTTAACGGGACTGAGGGCAACCTGTTGATGAGATAACAAGTTGTACGGGCAACTTCAGCCTAGAATGACTTTGGCAATTTTGCCATTCTGAACATGCATCTGACTTTTTCAACAATAGTGCGGTTCATCCTCTCTACCACACCATTGTGTTATGGAGTACTGGGAACTGTTGTCTCCTGTCAGATACCTCTGCTGGCACAATATACTTCAAAAGCATTAGAAATGTACTCGCCACCATTGTCTGTGCAAAAGCACTTTAACTTCTTCCCGGTCTCTCTTTCCACCATTACATGGAACTCTTGAAA